GTACTAACTACTCTCTCTCTCTCTCTCCTCCCTCCCTCCCTCCCTCCCTCCCTCCCTCCCTCCCTCTCTCTCTCTCTCTCTCTCTTGAGAGCAACATAATGTGAGAATCATCCTTACAAAAAGATAATCAAGTATCCCATTAAACAAAGACTAGGTAAAACAAGTAATTACTAATTATTTTCAGTGGATGGCATATTATGTAGATATATAAAACACATTCCAATCTGTAGCCTACTTCTTGCTGAATGACATCATCACACAAATGAAGAAGGGTTCCTTTTCCACTGTCCAGCTGCTTATCGTACATTGATTTTGTAATTAAGTTCTGGTATGCCACCATGTTCTGCTGGAATCTGCACAGCAACATTAGAAATGTGAAATTAATCGATCAACTTAAAATAGATAATAAACGAACACTTTTACTATACCGATTTGCAATAACTAATGCTAGATTTTGCATTACCAAATGAGTAATGTAATCCAAGGAACCATGGAAAATCACATATTCTTTTGGGTCTACTGTACTCCTTTTGACACAATGAACAATGATATGAGTGTGGGACCCACCACAATAAGTCAATACCCCAACGGTGGATCCTGCTATACCATAGTCCATTTTAATGAGAGGTATTGACCCAACGAAATATATGTAGGTCTCCATGCTCCTATAAATTATGGCATACTTATCCCTTTGTATGATATGCAATTCATGTTTATTTGCAAAATTGTCAAAAGTACCCTGGTATGAAATAACTTGGCTTCAAAACAATGCAGGGACCTGAAATTGCAGCCCTCCAGGCTTTTACTGTTAGTGCCTGTGCTGTACCCCACATGCGACTTACGGGAAGTATAACATAGTCAAAGGAGTATGGTAAAGGTTATTTCATTGAGGTGTAAGGATTAACTTCACATGGAGGCAAGTATCTCAATGGCCCTCACTAGGATTACTCTCCACTGTCATTCACCGGGAACAAACCATGAATGCCCCTACTGTATACCATACACCATACCTATTTGATTATAGGATACTTCCATCTTGTGATTATCATGTGCATCACGATAATCTTTAGCTTTATAGCAGTCGTGCTTGTTTGAGCAAAATGAGCATATGCACTCAGAAAACACCATATTTCAACTGAAGCCTAATGGTAAACCTGTAATTGTGTAACACATTTGTAGCGTTTTTAATGAAGCATGATGGTATACATGAAAACTACACAATTTACAACTGTGTTTCCATATATTCAAACAGAACTAGAGAACTATATCTATTGGGGGCCAATAAGCAAATACATTCTGAAAGATAGTTAATTAGAAAAGAAACAGATGGTTAAAAAACTAAACCAATCCATTGGATATTATGTTAGCAATTAAATTACTATTAAAAGCCTGATCTACCAAATCAGATGGATCTCATTGGAACTTCAGCATAGACATGTAACACTTCATAAAGAAAATGCAATTGTTTCCAGCGCCTAGGCGGGCGCCCAGAACCTGGGCGGCCAGGTCGAATCCAAAAAGGATGCCCAGTCAAAGATGCTTCTAAGGACTCAAAATCTTTTGAAAAAAAACCCCAACGGATTTATAAAATATCAAATATTAAATCTAATATCAATGGGTGATGTTTTGATCAAGTTTTGTCAACTTTAAAAATAAAAAAATTTCCGCCTTTGGGCGGCGCGCCCGCCTAGGCGGGGCACAGGCCCTGGATTAAGCACTGGGCGCCCTCCTAGGCAGGTTCCGTACCGCCTAGGCGGCGCCTTTAGTCCTACGTCGAAACTATACGACCTACCTAGGGTTACGTCGTTCCCTAAAGGGTTCCGTCCCGAACCTTAAGGGAAACCAACCTTACGGACCG